AACTTTAGACAAACTTTAGACAAACATGATCAACATGATTTCTACAGACAAGCTCTACAAAGTTCATACAGTACTTGGACAACCTTAGAATAATCTGATAAAACACCTCTGCTTTGTACCTGTCAACTTAATCCTAAGAGATATATAGAGGTGGGTGATGGAAAACCTGTAGAACTTGTTGAACCCTCTCACATTGCTCTTTACGACAACAAAAAAAAACAAACTCATAAACAATGGATATACATCCAAAAATGATCTAACCTACTTTACTGAAAAGACAGAAAGCAAACTTCAACCAACTATAGTTTTAGAATGTCCTTTTTTACATTTTGCTGAGCATAATGTTTCACAAAAACACAGAGCAGTCACTTTAGTCTTTAAAGTCTAAGCTGTGCAAAACATAGATATTTTATAAGTTTTATTTCCCATATGATTAGCTACATGAAAGCAAAATTATAGAAGTCACATCAGATTGTAGTAACAAGAGCAGCTTCTTTTAACTGGGATTAGTTGTGGGCTTTAAAGAAGCCACTCTACTGCCAATGCAGAATAACTAACACTACTATATAAGGGACTCATTGTTGACCTCCCCCCTAAGTTCAGTGTCCTGTATATGCCCTTTTCTGCTGGTGTGATCAATAAAGAGCACTTGTTATAAGATAATCATGGCCATCCCTGTTTCTCTTCATCTGCTGATACTGCTACACTGGTGTCAGACGTGGGATATTCCCCCAGTGGTCTGGAGGAGAATGGCACTACTCTGAACTCAAAGGCAGATGGCAGAAGAGCAGAGCACAGTGAGACTTAGACAGAGACAGAGACAGAGGCCAGGTGAGACTTAATGGCACAGCAAGACTGGAGGCCGCAGCAGGTGTGGGAGGGCATGAGGAGATGACCTTTGAAGAGGGAGCTGTGTAGCATTTTGCTGCTGGCTGGTGCTGGTGCCTGAGACTCTGGAGGTGTGGCTAAGCAGATAACCACATGCAAAGGCTCATGGTAGCGTGTGCTCTCCAACAAAGGTACTTCATCCGGTGGGTAGCGGTGACCTCCCCCTTGAGTTGGGTGTCCCTTTCCTGTCGGTGTGTTCACCCACTTATTATAGCAGAATCCTGGCCACACCTGTGTTTTTTCTTCTGCTGACGCACATAATAACACCAGCTACTCCCAATGTACTCTACTACTGCCAAAGATACTGACGAAGGTAGCAGGATTGTTTAGGGTACTGTTTGGAAGTTTCTGTGCACGTCTGAAAGCAGCATCACAGATCTAAAAGCAAAGATCACTTTCTTCGCTGTTCCTGTTGAAACACTGGGAGCCAGTTTAACAGCCTTTGTGTCTGAATCAGAGTCACTGAGATCTTATCCTGCTACAGACTGTACTGCTGTTCTTTCTTATAATGAGCCATTTCCTTACATTCATGCATCTGAGAGTGAGAGCTTACAGTTTCCTGTAGTTTTCCCCTCACCATAAGAGCAGTTATGGGAAATTGGGGACACATTACATTACATCTCCAGCGTGGTGGGCAGAGCTAAACTGCTGCTGGCTGAACAGGCTGACAAATGAAAATGCACTGGTTCTAATGACGTCACAAAAACAGTTCAAAAGCTTTTTGTTTTTGCAGCTTAGTTTCAGGATATGGCCAGTACAGTCTTGGTATGTTATGATTTTATCAGTGTTTTCATTTGTCCCTCAATTTAGTTTGAGGCATTTTACTGAGCATTTAACTAATGTCTCAAACAGAACAAAGAACGGATGTTGGGAGTTTGCATTGACAACAGTGTAGAAGTGTATAGATTATGTGGCGATTTCTGTATTCATTAAACTATCAAAGGGACAGAAAACATCCTCAAATGCAGAAATGACCCATCACCTTGAAGACTGATGTGTATGTCAGGGTCAAGTTTTTCTGAACCAGTGTAAGTAAACAGTGTATAAGAGAAAAGATCTCTCTCTCTTCCCCTCCTCGAAGAACACTACAGAACATCACAGGCACTCAGGCTGCTGAACAGACCTGCCTGAAGGACTTTCAACAGGCCCATCTAATGGAAAACTGACCTTTACTTTTACTAAGAGCTTGCTGTAGTGTGTAAACACTGTTAATGTTTCATAATAAACAGTCCATATATGGGAACTAAGCTGCAAACCAGCCTGTTTTGAATTCTTTGTTTTTGTTATGTCACAAACAAAACCAACACATTTGCACACAACTATACATTTAGCCTACAGCAGCTTAGCCCCGCCCACTTGCACTTAAAAGGCAACTCCACCAATTTTTCAAAGTTTATGAGTAATTAAATGGTTAAGTTGTAAACAGAGCATTTAAAAATGGTTTGGTGTGAAACGTTCCGTTCTAGAGAAACTTACTGAGTCAAAATTATTCACAGTGGTGGTGATAGGAACCAGAACTCCACCTCTAAAAGCTCCCTTACAGAAAGTTACTACATGAAATGGTTATCAATTCACTGCCTGATGACTGAGACACTGTTTGATTACAGATTTGTAACAAAGCTTTGATCTTAAACATTTTTTAATCAATTTATTTTAATCCTTTCATGGTGGAGGGATACACAAAGCGTGTTTCAAGGCAAAATAGTCCCCAAAGAAAACGTATTATTTCAGATTTTCCACTATTTTTCCATCATCAACATTCCATATAAACTCAGAAGACTCGTCTGGGTTCACTGGTGGTTTTGGATAGTAAATAAAATGTCTATATTTGTGCTGCAGTCATGGTGACCCCTGGTTCCTATCACCACCACTGTACAGTAATCTGAGTCAGTAAGTTTTCCTACAGTGAACTATTTCACACCAAACTCCTCTGAATCACTTCGTTTGCATCCCAACCACTGAATTATACAGAAAGTTTGAAAAATTGGTGGCGTTCCCCTTTAAGCTATAAGGAGTGTTTCAGCATGGATTGCTGATCATTGCATGGAAAGTGATCCACCATGTTGAGACCATGTTAAATCTATTGGTTTTATTGGTTAAAAAGACGCCAACATTAGGCTGACCACAGATAAACAGTCCACTGTGACTGTTCTGTATGAGAGTTCGATCATTTTCAGATCTCCATTACTTACAAAATCCAACACCAAGTTTCTCTAATTAATCCTTCATTAAAGTAAATCAGCTGATCTGCTGATGGACTGTGATGCTGGAGTTCAGAGAGAAGACGGACCGGAGTTCTTCTGTGTTCCTCTAACTGTGTTCTTCTGTCTGTGATCCTCTAACTGTGTGGGACTGAGAAAAGATCATCCAGCCTTTGGAAAACTGTGACCTCTGAGATGCTGAACTGCCCCCCCCAGAGACTGTAGATCCAAACACGACCCTGCAGCCTGCGCATGGAAATTGGGACTGAAAGGAAGTGGGGACTCTGATCAGCTGAAGGTGACTGTGAGTGTGTGAGATGTAATGATGATAAAATCAGGATGGAGGTTGTACAGGAGCAGCTTCATGGTTCTGTCTTGATGGGTAGAAAGTGGATCCAGTACAATTGATGTAGCAGAAATCTGTGGTGCGATTTCTGGTGTAAAAGCAAAAACAGCATGGTTCCAAAATTTTGCTTTAACTTCTTATTCTCCAGGGTATATTTTGGTTTGTCCTTCTGAATTTTCATGACCAAATCGTAAGGCAAATTATTCAGTAACTGCATGAAATAAATGTATGTTTTTTATTTATTTATTTATTTATTTGTTGTAAAAGTTCCCCTCAAATTAACAGAACATGTGTTTTATGATCACACATATTGCTATATGCTTACAATTTACTGCTGAAAGCCAAAAATCTTAGACGCTCTTTGTATTATTTTATAAAAGTCATTTTTACAGATCAGATCACTGAAGAGACGCCATCTGTTTATAGTTTATAGCCCAGATTTGTGGAAAAATGGGTCGACTTTCAGTAGAAAAAACATTGAGAGTTCAAGCTTCTTTTATTATAAGGGTTTAAAATGACATCACCCATCTATTTGACTGGAAAGAAGACAGTTACAGCTCTCATACGACCCCCACCTTTTGAATGTAGCTTATGAAATATGAAAGTTATGAAGAATATGATGAAGTGTGTTTTGGAACCATCGGCGGTCTCAAGGAGCATAAGAGGCTTCGAGAAGCTGCAGACCAGCTCGAAGGCCAAGGTGTGATAATACCAGTGGAGTGCAGTGAATGGGCTGCTCCTGTTGTGTGCATCCCCAAAAACAATATAGAGGTTCCGATATGTCAGGGGTTGGCAAATGTTATGAAGAGCTATTTTGTCCTTACAATAAAAATCGAACCACCTCGAGAACCACAACATTTCGTGTCAATTTTACCATCTTGGCTGTAAATATGTCTGAGTATGTGCTGATGTACAGGCTAAAAATTATAACAAACACAGACTTACTCTGCTCTGCTTTAAGCTTTAGCTCAGCTATAGCTGCTTTTCTCACATCTCTGGCAGGAAACTTTTCCTCAAAAGAAGAACAGTTTGATGTAAAATGTCTCTCAACATTCAAATTTTTACGAGGCTGTATTTGCTTCACATTCACCAGCTTCTTGTTTGAATTTCCCACATTTGGACCAGGAGAATTTGAACAAAAATCTGGTGAATGAGAAACTGACAGTAGCTTCACGACTTTTTAGTTTCTCATTGCAGATTAAACGTATCAGGAAAGTGAAAGTGATGAGTGATTATAAACATCCATTAATAACCAAATTATCAATGTCTGCCTTAAAACTCTTTTCCGTTTCGTTAGCTACTAGCTAGGCGAGACCGTTGTCTGTGTTGCTATGGTGACCAGCAGTCTGTGCTGATCTTCAGGGTTAAAGGGTGAATTAGCAGTTCTACATTAACTCCAGAGTTTAAGACCATTTACTGTTAAACTGTGTTGAACGATCAGCAGAGCTTTATTTTACTGTAAAGGAGGATTATTTTATTTTTACCTACAAATCTGATTCTGCTGTGGAGCTGCACAGGGCAGTAAAAGAGCCGCATGCTGCCGACCCCTGGAATATGTGGTGATTATAAGGTATTGATCAACCCATGGCTAGAGGTGGAAAATTACCTACTGCCAAAAACACAGGATTTATTTACTACCCTAGTAGGGGCAACATTTTTCATCTAACTCATGCCTTATGTAGTCATTAACACCCAAAAGGGCCTGTTTCAAACGAACAGATTGGTATATGGGGTAGAAAACTGACCAGCTATTTCTCAAAGAATTCTGAGGAGCTGTATGATACCTTTACTAATTACAGGTCCCACTGAAGCTGAGTATTGGAACAATGTACATGTATATATGCACACACGCACTTGGGTGACTGTTATTTATTAATATTCGTAACATCCAATCCTCTGTCCATCCCATCATCTGCCCATCCAAACCTCTGTCCATCCCATCATCTGTCCATCCAAACCTCTGTCCATCCCATCATCTGTCCATCCAAACCTCTGTCCAAGGTTGTTATGCACACTGGAATGTAACTTGTTTCTGCAGTTTTGCAGTGTCACTTAAAGCGTTTGCTGCTGTTGCTGCTGCAAATATCAATATAGAAAAAAAACTCAATGAAAGTAAGTAAAAAAGCAACTTAGATAATGTTGACTATGACATGTACTTGTATATATGCACACACCCACTTGTATGACTGTTATTTATAAATATTCATAACATCCAATCCTCCGTCCATTCAATTCTCAGTCAATCCCATCATCTGTCCATCCAATCCCAGGTGCATCCAATCCTCTGTCCATCCCGTCATCTGTCACAATGAAAACACAATGAAAATAAGTAAAAGAGCAGCTTAGATAATAAACAATAAGAAAACAAAAAAATAAGAAAAGTCTAATTATTTACTACAATAAAACAATAAATTAGTTAACAACAAATAAAACAGTTGCAATAAAACAGTAAAATAAAATGAAATAAAAAAAATAAAATAAAATTAAACAAAACTCAACTGAAATAGTTCCAGGCTGTTGGAAGGTGACTGAGTGACACCAGTGAGTGAGTGTTAAGGACTCCTCTAGTGAAGTCCAGCTCACTGGTGCTCTGAGATAAAAGCTAATTTTCACAGTCCAGTAAAAACTCTCAGTACCTCACAGTTGATGACAGGCCTGCTCCATGCCTTCCAGCCTCAAATGGCTTAGTAGAAAGGCTGGTCCAGAAATTCAAACAGTCTCCGGAAAAAACAGGAAGATCTAGGATTTCCTCTGAAACATTGTGTCGATATCTTTTCAGTTATAGAAACACACCACAGAATACAGGCAGAGCCCAGCTGAGCTGCTCCTGAAAATACATGTACTACTTCATCTCAAATCAATCCCAGATTTCCTGCTTTTACACAGAAAAAGAAACGATCTGATTAAAAAAGGGCATCAAAAGGAGTGAAACTGAAGTCTGTCAAGCCCAAACAACGAGCGCTGCTTCTAGAAGGAAAGGCCTGGAAAAGTGGAGTAATTGGACGAGTGCCAGGTCCCGTGACTGGTCTAGTAAATGTAGCGTGAAAAGTGTGTAAGAAACATGTGGATCAGATTATTGTGAGTGAACTGCTGACAGACACTAATGAGGACGCTGAGTTATTGGGAGATTTTATGAACACATGATTTCGAGATCAAGGAATCAGAGAATAAAGATGATCTGGAGAGCGGTAGAGAGAGAAATGAGTCTCCAGCTATGTGTGATCCTGAACGTTTAGGCCGACCTGTACGAATTTGGAGGGCAGCCCAAATGGCAAATGTGTACTGCTGTTAATCAGTATATGTGTTATTGTGTTATAACTGATTTTATAAAACAAATAGTTCTGGTCCTAAAATCTGATTGGCTGAGCCGCATTCAAAACCATTGTAAAATCCATGATATACACTCACCTGTGACCACCTAACAGCGACTGAATTGTGCATCACTGCGCCACGACAAACCCCATGTGGAGATAATGGAATTATCTTTGACTCTCATGCTGCTCGCATGGAGCACCGAGTGTACTGATGAAGTAAGAACCCATTTTTTGTTTAAACTGAGGGGCTGGAGACTTATGTTCTTATCTTGAACCAGGCTGGTCAGCTAGCTAACAGGCTAAAATATAGCAAACAAGCTAAACAACATCATCATTAGGATCACAGGCCTGAAATAATTTTACGGCTTGATTTGATTTACTGTAAAACGGCAGAATAAAAAGTCTAAAAATACTTTTATCACTTGAACATCCTACATGCTTCAAATGTCTGTATTTCAGTCAGAAGTCGCGTCAAACCTAAACTGAATCCCAAACAGCTCTGTAGTCCCTAAATAGTGTTCTAGCTATGAAAGTTCAGAAGTTCTAGCCTCTACAGCCAAACAGGGCATCATTTATCGAGTGTGGATGTGTCTGAATCCCAAATGTTTCTTAGCTGTGTTTTGCTCTGTTGGGCTGCAGGATCCAGTATTTAAACTCCTACGTAGTGCACTATGTAGGGAGCAGGGAGACATTTGAGATTCAGCCCCAGCCCGAGAAGAGGGTGCCGCTGGATTGGTGCTAAATAAGACTCGCGGTGGTAATCGTGACCAAAAAGTACTTATAAAGTGATGTTTTGCTTTAAACAGTGCTGAAATCAAAACTGCTTTGACTAGATCTTCAGGAATATTTAGGAATATTTAAATATTGAAAGAAGTGGCGGTGTGCTGTTCTACTGTGCAGTGTCTCCTGCACAAATATGAGCTTCATGAGAAGAAAACCTTTTCTGCATCCTCACCACAAAATTCAGCATCAGATATTTGCAAAGGACTGTGTAAAAAGTCTGATGCATTTTGGAAACCTGTCCTGTGGACTGATGGGGTTAAAATAGAACTTTTTGGACACAATGTGCAGATGTATGTTTGGAGAAGAAACTGTGCAGAATTTCATAAAAAAGCACACCTCTCCAACTTTTAGGCATATCAGTCATTTTTTGGGCTTTGTTACAGCCAGTGTCTGGGAACATTTCAGTGGTAGAGGGAAGAATAGATTTAGTTAAATACCAGCAAATTCTTGAAGCAAACATCAAATCATCTGTAAACAAGCTGACGATGGAAAGACGATGGCTTCTACAACGGGATAATGATCCTAAACACACCTCAAAATCCACAATGGACAACCTCAAGAGGTGCAAGCTGAAGGTTTTGCCATGGTCCTCTGAGCTCCCTGACATAAACATCATCAAAAATCTGTGGATAGAACCTCCAAAAAACAGTGCATGTAAGACGGCCCAAGAGTCTCACAGAACTAGAAGCCTTTTGTAATTTAATACTATTTTTGCAATGTAAGAAGTTTGAGTGGGTTAAACACTTTTCACAGTGAATTAAACATCTATGGACTGAGTAACTGAGTGGGAGGCCAAGAGGAGGAAATGCCCTGTGGGAGTGTTTGAAGGACAGGAGTCCCACTGTTGGAGAAATTAAGTAAAAAAACTAATTCTATGGTGTCCACCTAACTAAAATATGTGAATTAGAAGAACCTTTGACTAAACTGCACTCTATGTAGAACCATGAACACTCAAAGACTCAAGTTCTTTGCATCATAAAAATGTTCTTCGGATTGATAGAGAATGTGCTGTAGTTGGTTCTATATAGAACCTTTCTGAAAGTGTTCTTCTATTGTTATGATGTTATGAAGCCTGTAACAATAGAAGAACACGTTTTGGTGCTACATAGAACTCTTTTTAAAAAAAGATTGTATATAGAAAGATATAAAACTCTTTATCTCTATCAATCTGAAAATCTGAACTCTTTCACGATGCAAAGAAACTTTTAATCATGCATCATCATGTTCTTTGAGTGTTCATGGTCCCGTATACCATTATCTTTACCAAAGAACCTTTGAAGAACCATTTTTAAGTGTGTACACCAGAAAAAAAGCTATTTTTTAGGTTGAAAGGACAAACCATGCGTGCAATGTAAGTTTGAGTTGGTTGAACTCTAGTAGAGTGAGTGTGGGCTAATGTGGGCTGTGGTTGGTATAGTGTAATGGGTAACACCTCTGCCTTCTTTGCTGTAGACTGGGGTTCAGTCACCAATCTGGCCAACACCCCACACTGTACCAATAAGAGTCCTTGGGCAAGACTCCTAACACTACATTCGTTTATCGGTGTAAAATGATCACACTGTAAGTCGCTCTGGATAAGAGCATCTGCTAAATATTTCAAATTTCATGAATCATAATGAGCAAAGTTAAGAACAGGATCCCCTTAACATCCCTGTAGTTTCTACCAGAGAACAGTGAGATCAGATGGAAAGAGCTCAGTAATCTCACACGTCTCCTCTTGAGTTTCAGTAGAGATCTCAGTAAAGTCACACATTGTGTTCAGACTAGATGATGATACTCTCGTTTATCTGGGGCTAAACTCTCATCTCTCATTTATCTCTCCTGTATCTCCTCTGTTGGTCTAACACCATTTCTCCTGAGGGGTTTAGGAGAATCATCATTACGTCTCCTGAGCCACCAAAGAGCATCATTTAAGCAAAGATCTCTTCTCAGAAGGTCCTTATGGCTGTTTCACTGTGGGCACTGAGGTCATCTAATGCCTTACGTTTGTTCTGTGCCCCTCAGTCTTGGCATTTTATGGTCCTCAACAGTTGCTCTCTTGAAGGTTTCTCACTTCTCCTCAGGCATGGAAAGTTCAGTTCACCTCCAGATCTTCTCTACTAAGATCTTTCTTCTGCTCTGTGAGTTAAGCTCCGTCATGTCCTGTGAGGTGTGTGTGTGTTTAAGGCATGCATGTTTTGTTTTCCTGCAGGTGGAGGCTTGTCCAGGGATCGTGCTGGTGTTTGACTGCTGCTCTCTGATCCACCAATCAGAATTGCTGCCTGCTAAGAGGAGGAAGCAGGACTTTGAGTATCAAAGCAGCTTCCAGGGACCGAGAGTGTGTGTGTTGTGGGGCTGTTTGTGTGTGTGAGGCTGTTTGTGTGTGTGAGGCTGTTTGTGTGTGTGAGGCTGTTGTGCTGCTGTTTGTGTGTGTGAGGCTGTTGTGCTGCTGTTTGTGTGTGTGAGGCTGTTGTGCTGCTGTTTGTGTGTGTGAGGCTGTTGTGCTGCTGTTTGTGTGTGTGAGGCAGTTGTGCTGCTGTTTGTGTGTGAGGCAGTTGTGCTGCTGTTTGTGTGTGTGAGGCTGTTTGTGTGTGTGAGGCTGTTGTGCTGCTGTTTGTGTGTGAGGCTGTTGAGCTGCTGTTTGTGTGTGTGAGGCAGTTGTGCTGCTGTTTGTGTGTGTGAGGCTGTTGTGCTGCTGTTTGTGTGTGTGAGGCTGTTTGTGTGTGTGAGGCTGTTGTGCTGCTGTTTGTGTGTGTGAGGCTGTTTGTGTGTGTGAGGCAGTTGTGCTGCTGTTTGTGTGTGTGAGGCTGTTTGTGTGTGTGAGGCAGTTGTGCTGCTGTTTGTGTGTGTGAGGCTGTTGTGCTGCTGTTTGTGTGTGTGAGGCAGTTGTGCTGCTGTTTGTGTGTGTGAGGCTGTTTGTGTGTGTGAGGCTGTTGTGCTGCTGTTGGTGTGTGTGAGGCAGTTGTGCTGCTGTATGAATCCAGTCCCAAGCCGAACAGAACTCCAACTCCTGTGATGCCTCTGACTCCCACGTGACTCCTAACCAGAGTCATGTGACTTACCCACGTTCCCAGTCACCCGAATACTGATTGTTTGGACCTGTGTCCCAACCTATTTAGACTCTCCTGGTGTTCAGTCCTCTGCCGAGTTTTGACCAGCCCTCTAGCATTACAAAGCGCTCACTGTCTGTTTGATTTCTCGTGTTTTGACCTTTGCTTGTTTATTACTCCGTGTTTTTGCCTCTTCCTTTTGTACTCTGTTTTGCCGGTTTTGGATTTGTGCTTGATTATTCGACTACGCCTCTTGGTACGCCCCTCTACTACTTCTGTTTTTTGCTGTTGCTGACCTGGACTGTTTTTGACTACCTCTTTGTGCCTAAGCCCTTTATTAAAACCTCTCATTTTAATCTGCGAGTGTCTGATTTCCGTCCAGTCCTGACACTGTATGTATTTCTGAAGCAGTGAAGCTTTTCTTTAAACTGCATCAGGAAAGTTTATTACTCATAGCTTTTAAAACCCAGAGTACATTAATGAGCCATGCTGGTTAAACGCATGAACTGCATCTACTGTTCTACTCTGTGGGATGTCCAAATCTTTA